TCCCTCATGAGTATAGATGCAAGTCTCTAACAAAATACTTGCAAATTAAATTTAGCAACATAGCAAAAGTCTAGTACATTACAACCAAGTGGGATTATCCTAAGAATACAAGGCTGGTTCAACTTTCAAAATCAAATGATGTAATTTACTGTAGTGACAAAATGACAGAAGTAAAAAAGATATAACCAACTTAATAGTTTCAGAAACAGCATTAGACAAAATTCAACACTCTCAACAAATTTTCAGAGGGTAACAAATTTTCTGAGAGTAACATCTCAGCAAATTAAGAATAGAAGGAAACTTCGTCAACTTGATAAAGGGAATTTATTTTTAAAAAACAACCTTATAGCTAACAACATATCATACTTACTGGTGAAATGTTGGATGCTTTCTCCCCTAAGATTGGGAACAAGGCAAAGATGTCTGGTATCACCTCCTTTATGCATCATTATTCTGGAAGTCCTAATCAATGTTATAAGAAAAAAAATACAAGGCATAAAGATTGGAAAGAAAAAAGTAAAACTGTCATTATTCACAGATAGCATAATTGTTTATGTAGAAAATCTTAAGGAATAGAAAAGACTAATAGAACCAGTAAGTGAATTTAGAAAGCTCATAGCATAAAAGGTCAAAATACAAAAATCAGTTACATGTTTATGTAGTTTCTGTGTAGTAGCAATAAACAACAAGGAAGTAAAATAAATAAAACAAAACTTTATTCATTAACACTAAATGACATAAAATACTTGCTAATGAACTTTGTGAAAAAATGTGCAAAACTACAATAAAAATTGCTGAGAAATTAAAGATACTAAATAAATGGAATGATATTCTATGTTCATAGTTTAGAAAACACAATATTATTAGTGTCAACTTTCCCTTTGAATGATGTATAGGTTCAACATTGTTCTATAAAAATCCCACTAAGTATTTTTTCCAGGAATTGATAAGCTAATTTTAAAATTTAAGTGAAAATGCAAAGGATCTAGTAGCCAAAACAACCTTATAAAAGAAGAATAAATTTGTAGGACCTAATCTACCTGATGTTAAGATTTATTAAAAAGCTATACTTATCAAGTAACTGTAGTACTGGTAAAAGAATAAATAGACCAATGGAACAGAATGGAGTTCAGAAATTAATCCCATTTTGTCAATTTGACAAAGTTTTCAAGGCAATTCAATGAAGAAAGGAAAGTCTTATCAACAAGTGGTGCTGAAACAACTGGATATCGGTGAGGAAACAATGAACCTGTATCTCCACCTCACAACAAACACAAAAATTCATCTGAAATGGATCATAGATCTCAATGTGAAAGTTAAAACTCTAAACCTTCCAGAAGAAACTATAGGAGGATATCTTCATTATGTTGGGTTAGCAAAGATTTCTTGGTACACAAACTTCGCTAACCATAAGTGAAAAATATTGATATGTTAGACCTCAGACTTTGAAACTTTTACTCTTTGAAAGACACCATTAAGAAAATGAAAAGGGCTGGGCACAGTGGCTCATGCCTATAATCCCAGCACTTTGGGAGGCCGAGGCAGGAGAATGTCTTGAGCCCAGGAGTTGAAGACCAGCCTGGGTAATACAGTAAGATCTTGTCTGTACAAATAAAAAAATTAGTCAGGTGTGATGGCGCACACCTGTGGTCCTAGCTACTCAGGAGGCTGAGGTGGGAGGATCACTTGAGTCCAGGAGGTTGAGGCTGTAGTGATCTGTGATCATGCCACTGCAGTACAGCCTCAGCAACAAAGTGAGACCTCCCCACTTCAACAACAACAAAAGAAAATGAAAAGAGAAAATCACAAAAGTAAAAATATTTGCAACACATGTATATGCACAAAGGACTTGTATCCAGGACGTATAAAGAAAGAATTCCTATCAGCCAATAATAAAGTCATACAGTCATTTTTTAAAAAATGTGCTAAAGATTTGAACAGAACTTAACAGAAGAAGACATAATATGACCAATAAACACATGAAAAGATATATAACACCCTTAACACCAAGGACACATAAATCAAAACCACAATGAGATACTATTCACACATTTATACCCCTAGAATGATTAAAGTTCCAATGAATATTAATACCAAATGTTGCTAAGGATATGAAACAACAGCCAAGATCATGCACTGCTGGGGAGATTATAAGATAGTGCAACTGCTTTGGAAAAACAGTTTGAGAGTTTCCTAAAAAGTTAGCATATACCTACTATACAAACAATTCTCCACCTAGGTGTTTACTCAAGAAAAATGAAAAAAATATGCCTTAAAAAACTTGTAAAACTTGTATATGAATTCTTATAGTAGCTTTATTGACAAAAGCCTCTAAATAGAAACATCACAAATATCCCTAGAAAGGAGAATGGAAAAATAAATTGTGGTATGTTTATATAATGGAATACTGCACATACTACCTGTGAATAGATAACTTGTCCAGCCCTATTATTCTATCATTTTATCAGTCCATTTAAAAGTAGATGTTTTGCTATAATGAGATGCCACTTCACATCCATGAGCATGGTGTTAAAGCAAACTAAATATGGCCTGAGAAGAACTCCATACTTTTTAGACAAGATTGAAAACCCAACTTACAAGTATGTGTCTGTAACAACAGCTGAGTGTTGGACAATCCCAGCGGCCATACTTCAGCCACTCCTAGACTGCTGAGTGTTCAAACTGTGTTCAAATAAGGCAAACGCAGAGCTGTAGCCAATCCTGCTGTTTCTGTACCTCACTTCCAATTCCTATACCTCACTTTACTTTTTTTGTCTATACATTTCTTCTGACCACGAGGCACCCCTGGAGTCTCTGAATCTGCTCTGATTCTGGGGAGTGCCCAATTTGTGAATCATTCATTGCTCAATTAAACTCTTTAAATTTAATTTGGCTGAAGTTTTTATTTTAACGATGGCCATGACCAAAAACATAGATAATAAGTATTTTCAAGGATGTGAAGAAATTGGAACCTTCACACATTACTGGTGTGTAAAGTTACACTGGAATGTAAAATTATACAGTCGTTTTGAAAAACAGCTTGGCAGTTCCTGAAATGGTTAAACATGGACTTACCATATGACCCAGTAATTCTACTCCTCACTGTATACCTGAGAAGTGAAAACATATATTCACACAAAATCTTGCAGACAAGTGTTCATGGCAGTATTATAAATAATAGCCAGAAAGTGGAACCAACTCAATAGGGAATGACTGCTGATGGGTACCAGTTGATGAACATGTTTTAAAATTGATTGTGATTATAGTTGTGAAACAGAGTAGGAATGGAATTTAGCCCTCACCATGATTTGGCCCCCACTCCTACTAATACATTTTTTCCATACCCACCCATTACCAGACCTTGCACCACCCCATCCATTGGGGTCATCCCTGCTGACCACAAGATACCTCTTGAAACAGAGATAAGCAGCATCCCACTGTAAACCTTACTCAAGGGAGTTAGCCTTATTGCAGGCCTGTGCACAAGACCAGAAGAATGGCTGATCTTTACCCCATGCCTCATTATAATACTAAAAGCCTCACCCAGGGAAGAGCTTATCCATCATATTTTGATCATGCAATGTACATGCTAGCATGATTTCTCACTGTGCCTGCACACTCTGCGCTCCACCATGCAGTGTAATGATACTCCCATACCCCATGCACATTCCTGTCACCTTTCCTAAAAACACCACAAAGACCTGCCCTTGGAAAGCCAGCCAGCTAACTCTTGCTCCTGCACTGTCTCCATTGTGTTCAAACATAAGCCCCCAATAAAAGCCTTGTTTGGGAAACTTGCTCAGCCTCGTGTCAATTTCTATTACACGAGAGCCCAAGAACCTGTGGTCGGTAACAGTTGTACAACTCTGTGAATATACTAAAAGCCATTGAGTTGTACACTTTAAAGGATGAATTATATGGTATGTGAATTATATTTCCATAAAACTGTTTTTTAAAAAGATTGAGTGTTCTTGTGGCCCAACACCAAGACCAATGAAGCACTTTCCACTGTGCTTCATCGCCTTCCAGTGTATCCTCGCCTGGCTCAGCATAAATGATGGTTTATTTAATAGCAAGGAAATGGACTACATGATCTCCTGGATCTTTTAGACTGAATGATCTATGTTTCAGTGAATCACTGGATACAGGAAATGGGAAATGGAACCATTTTTCTTAACTGATGTTAAAAGAAAAACTTTAAATAAATTTGATAAATTTAAAACTTTAGACAAATTTAAATTTAATAAAATTAAATTTAACAGAGCTTAATAGAAGAATGATTAGAGAACCAGCAGCCCTCAGAACCAGCAGAGGTTCAGAGAGCTCCACTTCACAAAGTGGGCAGGCAACATTTATGGACAGGAAATGGAAATGAGGTGCAGAAAGAGTTTGATTGGTTACAGCTCAATGTCTGTTTTATTTGAATATGGTGTGGTCAGCGGACCACCTGTGATTGACCAAAGCTGGCTGCTGTGGTGGACTGAGTCTCAGCTATTGTTACAAAAATGTACTCCTAGTTAGGCTTTCAGTTAGTTTAAATACTGTTAGGTTGTGGTTCCTCACATAGGGACTCAAAGTAGAGTCCCCCAGGACAAATTTAGTTTAACACTGGTAACTCTCTTAACAAGAAGACATTCCATTATGGATACTTCACTTCAGCTCAACTCCCAAACTCTATCACCTGCTAGCTATGAAACTTTGGTCAAATTACTTGAACTCTTTTATCTTTGGTTTCTTCACACAAAAATGAGGATAATAATACCCGTATCATATGGTGTTATAAGAATTTAATTATATGCAGAAAGCTCTCAGCACAGTATCTAACATGTAATAAGTGTTGAATAAATAGTTATACAATTACTGTTTATTTTATCATAATTATTTATAGTGTATAGTTTCTAATTAAGTGCTTTCCTCTTTAGAGCAGTCAAAATATTATTTATGGCTGTTTACTATTTATATTTCACAAGCCCTGTTGATGTGTGCTCTTCTTTCAATAGGTACAACATAAGAGATATGACGCAATTCTTAAGCGTTTGCATTGTCAGGTGAACAAGCTTCAGGCAAATAGACGACAGTGGCAATGGAACATTCAACAACTGGAAAAAACTGCAGCCGAATTAAGAAAATGCATTGGAATGCAAGAATAACATTGCCATAGGGCGGTGTGGAACACAGACCATGACAACAAAAATTATGGGACAGAACATTAAGAAAATCTTTTGGATTCTTAATAACAAGCATCCACTATCAGAGGCCTGTCTTAATGACAGATGTCTTTGGTGGTTGTTGTCGTTGTTGTTTTTAAATCAGTCATCCATTTGTTAAAATGCCTTCTAACCCTACACTTGATAGCAGTAGACAGACAATAGGAATGCCTACAGAAAAATAGGGCAAGAGTCTCTATGACTATTGGGAGTGTGTAAAATGTATTATACTCATGAATACCTGTTTATGTTGCATTTGCTACCCTATAAAGTAAAAATTTAGAAGGGAAAAAACGCTTGAATTTTCAATGATTTAAATTGTTAAGATATTTTCAAATGTTTGTCTGTTTCAAACTTTTTATTGGAAGTTTTTTTTTACAACTGCCTTCACAGTAGCCCATAAATATTGATATTTATAATAATGTTTTTGTATGTTCAATGCTTCCAATATTTTACTCCATTTTCTCTTCTGTCCAGAAGGTAACAATCATTTTTCTTTGTTATAAAATAACATATTTTAGAGTGATACAATGAATAAAATATTTTGTTCACTTTTCTTTCTATAAATTATTCATATTCTGTGACTAAATTAAAGTTATAACATCATGTAACTCTTAAGATTATTACTCAGTATAGACTAACATATTTTTTCTCACTGAAAGGCAAAATGTCAAAAATCAAATGGTAACTTGTCCCTTTCAGATAAAAGTGCTCCCCTTTTTCATGGTTCCATTGAGTCAAATACTTAGAAACAAAAACAAATAGGAAATATGGTTTTAATAATATTCATTTGTTAATACCACACATCTACAGCCATCTGATCTTTGACAAACCTGAGAGAAACAAGAAATGGGGAAAGGATTCCCTATTTAATAAATGGTGCTGGGAAAATTGGCTATGCCATACAGTAGAAAGCTGAAACTGGATCCCTCCTTACTCCCTTATATGAAATTAATTCAAGATGGACTTAAGAGACTTAAATGTTAGACCTAACCATAATCAAAAACCTAGGGAAAACCTAGGTAGTACCATTCAGGACATAGGCATGGGCAAGACTTCATGTCTAAAACATCAAAAGCAACGGCAGCAAAAGCAAAATTGCAAATGGGATCTAATTAAAACTAAAAGCTGTCTGCACAGCAAAAAGAAACTACCGTCAGAGTGAACAGGCAACCTACAGAATGGGAGAAAATTGTTGCAATCTACTCATCTGACAGAGGGCTAATATCCAGAAACCTACAAAGAACTCAAACAAATTACAAGAAAAAAACAAACCACCCCATCAAAAAGTGGGCAAAGGATATGAACAGACATTTCTCAAAAGAAGACATTCATACAGCCAACAGACACATGAAAAATGTCCATCATCATGGCATCAGATAAATGCAAATCAAAACCACAATGAGATACATTCACACCAGTTAGAAATGGCACGATCAATTTAAGTCATGGAAATCAACAGGTGGGGAGATGGAGTGTGAGGAATAGGGAACAACTTTTACACTGTTGGTGGCGGATTGTAAAACTAGTTCAAACCATTATGAGAAAACAGTATGGCGATTCCTCAGGATCTAGAACTAGATGTAACCATAATGGACCCAACCATTCCCACTTACTGGGTAATGATACCCAAAGGATTATAAATCATGTCTGCTATAAAGCGACATGCACACGTATGTTTATGTGGCACTATTCACAATAGCAAAGCTTGGATCAACCCAAATGTCCATCAGTGGACAGAACTGGATTAAGAAATGTGGCACATATCACACCATGGAATACTATGCAGCCATAAAATACAGATTGAGTTTGTGTCCTTTGTAGGGACTTGGAGCAGCTGGAACCATCATTCTTAGCAAACTATCACAAGAACAGAAAACAAACACCGCATGTTCTCACTCCATAGGTGGGAACTGAACAATGAGATCACTGGACTCGGGAAGGGGAACATCACACCAGGGCACCCCGCGGGACCGGCTATCATGCGGGGAGGGGGGAGCGGGGAGGATTGCATTGGGAGTTATAACCTATGTAAATAATGAGTTGATGGGTGCTTGACGAGTTGGATGGGTGCAGACCAGCAAATGGCACAGAGTAAATACATATGTACAAACACTGCCACGATTATGGCACATGTACCTAGAACCTTAAGGTATAATAATAATAAAAAATAATAAAAATAAATAAAAAATATATTGATTTGTAGGATTAAATAATTTCAAACAGACAGCATCAAAAAAAAATGTAAATCCATTTTCTCCTTACCTTTTTATGTGCCTAAAATTCAGTAAGTGGAGCTGATACAAAACCTGATATTAATAATCTTATTATGTCTAACAGTAATAGTTTTATGATGGCTTAGCATGGCTTACTATGGCTAACACTTCAAACAGCTTATCCTGTAACACAATCAGCTTTGGTCCATGACTCAGAAACAGCTACAGTGAAAATGGTGAAACCTACAGATTGTGGGGAGTACACAGTATACTCAGCTGAAGACAAGTCAGAACCAAATGCTGATTATATAAATAGATTTTAATGTAACTTGCATATTTAAAAGTTATTATACTTTGTAAGTTTAGTTATCGCTTATAAAAAATTCTAGTTTTCTAAACTGTTTTAAAGTTTATATTGGGATTCAAAACATTTGTAAATGATAACACCTTGAGTTATAGATTTGAAAGTTTGCTTTTAAATTCAGATATGAAGAAAATAGGTGTAATCTGCTTGAGATAATGTGCTCTGCTTGTAAGTTTTAATGTAGTTTTCTAAAATATCCTTGATAATCCATATACCGATTTTACATTTTATGACAGTCAAAAATTATTTGAAAAAGAAACCTTTTTTCCCTGTTTTTTCTTATCTTGGAAACTATTTCAGATAATAGAGGCTTTCAGATTAATGAAGAACTAAAATTTGAGATATCCAAAGCCTGATGATTTAGTGGATATGATATTTCAACACAATTACAAACTCTAAAATTAGAAAATTGAAGTTATTTTTAATTTTAGTTCTGTATAATGGAACCTAGCTTAGAATATGAGCCCTTTTGCTTAGTGGCATTTCACACACATGCTTCTGGTTTAAAACTCAGTCTCTTTGGGATAAATATTCGGTTCAAAATTCTCCTCTTCCTCATTTTTTTTTCTCCATGGAAGTGTTCTAAGTTCAGGCGGACTTGTGTCATCAGGGACACTGCTCTGCACCAAATGTCGTTTTCTGATCTCACTGGCCTCTGCAGAGATCTAATCCATTCTTCCTCGTTTTGAGGATCATCATGAGTCTGCGCTGTACCTGCAATTGTTTAGTCAATACGGTCAGCTTCATTGTCCAATCACAAGACCTCTTCTAGCCCTATTTCATTTTCTGTCTGCATGCTGGTCAATTTTTATCTCTTTGGGAGCTGTTATTCTACCCATGCATTCTTCCCCACTCCTTGATTTCAGTATAAATGGATTCTTTCAAGGTTCTCAGTGCTTTTAATGGCTTAGCAAAATGTCAACTCTCAAAATACTGAGTCTTCTGCAAAGGAACGCTATGATTTCAAGAATATTGTTTCTACTGTGGACTTTTAAAAAAGCCTCATATGAAACTCAAAGCAGATATATTACTTCTGAATTCTCAGTAGTATGTGTCCTGACCCAGGCCTGCTAGGCACCATTACCTAAATGATCAGTAAAAGCTAACAAATGCAAGGAAACAGAGGGAGGGAAAAAAACCCACAGTTAACATCTTAAAATATTACTACATGTGGAATCTGTGGACAAATTATAGTTGACCTATGTAAAGAAATTGATATCTACTTAAAGCCGTATCTTAAAAACCATGGGAGTCACCATATTTTACACACTAAAGCCAGTTAAGTCAGCCATTACGGACACTTTCATGGCCAATATAAATGGTCTATATTTTGTCTGTTAGACTGTGTCTCTTCCAGTCAATTGATTAATCATGCTGTTTTCCAAAAACACTGTAGATAAAAAATAACAACACTAAACATAAAGTACTGAGTATGCTGTGTCCTATTTGACAATTTGTATACATCATTTCATTTAACTCTCAAAATAATGAAAACATATATTATTTTCCCTGATTTGCAGATGGGGAAACTGATGCTTAGGTAGAGTAACTTGCCTAAGATTTCATCACACAGCACATCAGGGGCAAGGTTGAAATCAAAGCCCTATTTTAGCTACAAGGAACTACAAGAAAATGATTCCAAGGGCAAGATTCAATTTTATTATAAGTAAGTAATAATTTATTTCTACATTTAATCTATCATTTTGATATATTGAAAGGCATACAATACATTTAATCAAGGGGAGAAATTTTGTAATTAAAAATAAATGGCACACAAATGCATAGGTAACAGTACATGAGGGTCAGGGTCGGTATAGTATTTTGGCTGTGGAAAATGGAATCCCATTTATGAAAATTGCTTTGGAACCTTTTAAAGTTTACATAGGACATTGCAACTAAAACTCTAAATTTCTATGTTATTTTACATTGAACACAGAATTCACTGTTTATCCATAAAATTTATTAAAGGGCTATGCGAATACTATAGTGATTTGGAACTATTTGGGGGGAGTCAGGAATTCAGAAGAACATGGGGTTTTGATTTGTTAGTTGCTCATAGTTTAGCTTCTCATATTTTTAATATTATAAAAATTTTATTTTTCATTAACTAAGCTAATGATTACTAAAGGTAATGATCAGCAGCTAAAAGTTATATGCCTGTCAAAAACAGCCCATGTTATCTGTTATTTGAATTTATAATGTATTTCTAAGGGAAGCTTTTTTTTTTTTTTTTTGCTGATAAAAATGGCATGTAAGGAATGGGTCTTCTATATCACATTAGCTACCATATAATACTTTCTCTTGAATATTACTGAACTATGACCAAAACCAAGAAAAATAAATTGAAACAGACACTAATAGAAACATAGATCTATTCAATACATAGCTAAGAATAGGTCGCTCCAAATTGCTTTTTCTTTTCTGTAATGTTCTATTTAAATAATGACTGTGAGCTCTAGATCTTTAGAAAAATAAAAATAGCATATGATCTGGTAATGACAGGGTTGCTGTTTACATAATCCAGTGAAGACAGACATGAAGTAATGAGACTTCAACCTCTTAATTAATGAGATGATGTATTCCAAAAGAAAATTAGAGTTCATGTGGTAAATAGTTTTAAAAGGCTTCTTACCCACAAAGCTCTCTGGCATAAAAATCATGTCAAAAATGGAATAAAACACTTAAATTACAGATATTTGCCAGCATTACTCACTCACATAACACAAAGTAATTTAGAGGCATTGACATATACTGCCAGTCTAAGATGAATTTTTAAATATTTTTTGTCCAAAATAAGTAAGTCAAGACACATCATCTACTTCATCTGCTATTGCTGTCTCCCGAACATTATTTTACATGAAATAGATGTATGTAATCCTGATGCTTGTTTTGGAGAGGCTTCCTTGAGATGCTTTTGAGA